ACCGAGAAGAGAATATAGAAAATAATTTTTCACAATTCGACATTATTGAATCTTCACAACCTGCTTTTAATGAAGATACCATAAACTTTCTCAAATTAAATCATGGTCTGATCATTAATTCACAGACAATGAACGCTGCGACAAATCAAGCATTTGACATTAAAATAAATTCAAATAATAATAATAACATTGGAAGTTGCAATGTGAAAATAATATTATCCAAGAGCAGACAAGAAACATTTTTATTAGAAAATAATATAGAATCTAGTTCTTTCCGGTTATTACCGCCCAAACTGGTTGATATCATGACAAAATCAACAAATTTTTTAAGCAATAATTCGCCTGCCAATGATATTCGTCTAGAAATTAAATGTCAAAAGATTATATTGAATTTTGAAAAAGAAAATATACAGCCAACCGAAAAGATAAGAGCTGCAGTAAATAATGCATTAAAAGATCAGAGACCATATCAAGAATTAATCAAAGTATTTAATATATATGGATATATCTTATCTCAAAAGGTCATTCTTGGAGAAAAATTATACGAAATGTCGTACAACTCATCACATGAGATATTCAATAATGATAACGATAAACAAATTGATGTTAAAGAGTCTTTTAAAATAGATTTATCAAAATTAGATTTTACTTTGTGGAAAAATAATTATGGATTTGATGCAACATATTTAATGTCATTATATGGGGAAGCTGTCAAAAAACATGATGTCAAAAAATGGATAGAAATGTATTATAAACAAAAAGATTTTAAAACATTGCAAATTATTGATCAAGATGAATTATTTCCCTTATATAAAATCTTTGAAACAAAGACTTGTTGTGAAATTGAATCAATATTAGGAATAAAAAAGGAAAACAAAATACTTATGACAGGAATTATTCAGATTATTGAAAGTACCAAATATTATCCTGTAAGCTTCCCTGTTCGTTTAAAAAGTAGTAATTATCAAGTTTTTGCAAATATTGTTAGAACCAATGATCAGAAAAATAATGCTATAGATATAGCTTTTGTAAAAATCCATTCTGCAACTAGAACCAGTTTTTTAGCAATAATTGAAAATTTTGATCAAATCAAGTAAGTAATATATATATATTTAATTTTGATACAATAAAATTAACATAATTTAATTTACACCCTTATATTTAACAATTATTATAAAATGCACCTATGGTGTTTAGCACCATATATAATTGTTTTTAATAAAATTTAGGGTTAGGGTACG